TTTTGTTTGTTTGTTTGTTTGTTTTTTGCACCAGTCGGCATGCTGTCCTCATTGAGCACCCCGCCCCCGCGCACCAGTGTGTGTGTGTGTGTGTGTGTGTGTGTGTGTGTGTGTGTGTGTGCGTGTGTGTGTGTGTGTGTGTTTATTGATTTATGGCCGACTAATCTCATTACACGCTGCAGTCAAACCATCCTCCCTGCCGTCACATTTACAGTACATTGTCGTGTTGTTTAGCGTTATGTAAAGTAATGCTGGAAATTCTTATTTTAGACGCTCCGCTGATGTGTCTTTGCTAATCAAGACTTTCACGATGTCGAAAAAGCAAGCTCACTCTCATGTGTGGACGATACCCGTATGTGTTCATCAAAGGGTTCTTTCCATTCGCCCGCAGATTTCCCCACCTTGAATTTCGGGGTCAAAGCAGTCATGAAGACGTCGGTGCTCCTCACCTGGGATTTGCCGCCCAACTACAAGTCCCAAGTGCCTTTTAAGGTGAGTGGCCGCCAGGACCTGTCTTGACCGTGAGCGCTGCTTACTAACTCTCTGCGTCGCCGTTGCAGATCCTGTACAGCCAGCAGAGCGTGGAGGTGCAGGGCAACCTCAAGCGGAAGCTCATCACGCAGCTGCAGCCCGACACCGACTACTCGTTCGTGCTGACCAGCCGTGGCAACATCGCCGGGGGTCTGCAGCAGCAAGTGTCCATCCGTACCGCTCCCGACCTTATCAAGACCAAGCCTTTGTACAGCGCCCATCAGGCTCAGGGCGGCATGATGACCATTAACCTGCCCAAGGTGCAGACCACCACACGTGTCAGGTCAGTGGAATGAACGAACGCTTCAACATCTTTGATTGGTTTAAAAACGCACACACACACACACACACACACACACACACACACACACACACCACACACACACACACACACACGCACACACACACACACACACACACACACAAGTCCAAGCTCCCGTTCCAAACAATATACATCATACATAAGATACATCATGTAATTGTCTGATTGGAACATGCTGCGGAGAAGCACTGTGAAAGCACACAGAAGTAGTGCTTGAAAAAAAATAAATGAATAAAGTGAAACAAAGGTCTGTCTGTCTGCGAGCATTTTCATTCCCCAGCTCATTTCATTCTCAGGGCGCTGCTGAATCGATTGCAACTGGCCTGTTCTGGTTGTCTTCTATTTTTCAGGCTATAGATATCGTAATGCATGGATGATATCTTTCTCCTCCTCCCCCCCCACCCCCCAAATTATTAAACTATTGATTTAAAAAAATAACGATTTATTTTTATTATTCTTTTCAATTCCCAACTGTACTAAAAGCCTTACTTTTGGCTCCGTTTGAAGGCCCGCTAATGACAGCAATTAGAGCTTACTCACACGGGGCGTCCTATTAACCTCCGGAGTCCTGTGGGTGTCTCAAAGCTCGTCTGGCTGGGACTGTGTGTGTGTGTGCATGTGTGTATGTGTTGTGTGTTGTTGGGCAGATTGCGTTTCTTAATTATTAGTTTGCTGATGTTCGACTTTGTTCCAACCTTCGAGTTTGTCACCGGATGCCAACGTGTTTGTTGTTGTTGTTTTGACAGGTGGTACTACATTGTCGTTCTGCCCGTGTCCCAGTCGAGCCGGCGTTGGAAGAATCCGGATGAGATGGACCTGGATGAGGTGAGTATGAGCCAGCCGGTAGCCGATTGGCACATTACGTGGCGGGAGAAAGGTCGCCATTAACTCCGACCGGGCTGGAAGTGTCTGCTTGTTACCAATTATCTTCACTGCTCTCCTGGGCTTGAGCACGGTGGAGGTTGTGTGGTGGGGGGGGACTAATTATTGCATGCCAGGTCTGCAGACAGTGCCCATCTGCTCAATGCACCCGGTAAACAGAATAAGTAGACACCGCCCTGCACACAAGAAATGAACACAGTCGAAACAAGTCCATACTCGCCGAGTGTCGCTGTCAGAAGTAAAACACGTCACAGAGAGCACACAAACCCGACGTTAATCAGTGGTAATAGTTTGTAAATAGACGGATAAAATAAAATAAAAATGAAAATAAATATAAAATGAAAGATATTAATACAACCTATCCCTTGAACATTTTCTCAAAATAAATCAAGTCAAAGTAAAATTCTTCCCTTACTGGATGAATAAAATGAGATTCTGTTGACAAAAATCAATGAAATATAAATAAAGAATAAAAACTGAAAAATAAAAAATGTTAATTACATCAGAAAATAAATTAAATCCATTAATCGAATGAATAAATATATTCATGAATTGATGAATAATTTTTTAAAATGCAATACATGGATTAAATGTTTTTTGCGAAATAAATTGTGAAATATATGAAATCCCTGAAATGGATGACTAAATAAATGCCTACGTACAACGAAAATAAATCCTCAAACATTGTAAAAATTCTTAAAAACGTCGTCCTAATAATGAGCCAGTCGCCACTCCCATCGAGAAGGCTTCAATTTGATCAAAAGTGCCTTTCAAAAGTCTTCAACCCGCAGATATCGTCGTTTTACATCAAGTGTTCACGACTGTTCTATCATTCCTTTTAATAAAGATTTTCCCGCCCCACGAGGGAACGAACGGGAGCATAACGACTGCCTTTTAATAAAGATTTTCCCGCCCCACGAGGGAACGGGAGCATAACGACTGTGAGAATATTAATAGCGGTGTATTTAAATAAAGCACAAGGCTGGCAGAGAAAGAGAGGGCCCTCCTTGAGTCATTAAACAGCGAGCGGGCCATTGTCTCCTCTCTGCGACATTATCATTTCATAAAATCCGCATCTGGAGCAGCGCTTGGCACGACACAAAATGCCGCCGCAGCGCTCTGCGTTACGTTGCAGCCGGCTCACTCACCGAACGGCGTTTCTCTCTTTTGAGACATTTTCGCCATGGCTACAGTGCTGCATATACTCCACAGTAAAGCGTATTTTGGTGTTGCTGCGCGACTCGAACAAAGTAGCATGCTTAGAACTCAAAATCAATTTCTAGAGCACTTGAACAACAGCTAAAAGCAAGCCCGTCTTACTATCCGCGCAAACAATTCCGTTCCTTCCGCAGCTTCTGAAATCGAGCGAAGGCCCCGCGCTGAGGCGGCGGCGGCGTCATCTGGACTCGTCCAAGCCTTACATCGCCGCCAAGCTGGCGTTGCTGCCGCCCGCCTTCACGCTGGGAGACGAGAAGCGCTACAACAACTACTACAACAAGCCGCTGACCAGCGGGCAGGAGTACGTCTGCTTCGTTTTGGCCGTCCTGCGATCCGAGGGCAGCGACAGCGCCTCCAATTACGTGAGTCGCACCTACACACGTTTGCTGATTAACCTTACATGTTGTATTACTTGCTTTCAAGTTGTCATTTTTATATGTCCACTAGGGGACGTTGATTTTTTTTTTTTTTTTTCCTATTCAAAGCATGCAGCAACACTTCACCCTCTGTCTCTCTGTCAGTCTGCTGCCGATCCTTGACACAAATCATCACAATCGCATACTCCTTGCAAATGTATTTTATGGTGTTCATGAAAACTAGGATGAAACAAAAAGGTTTTTTTATACAACTATTATTGTTGTTGTGTGACTTTGGACTTCGTCCCTCTTAGTCACTAATACTTCAACATACATTAGACATCAATTATGCTTAGAAGCGAAATTCGTTTTCAAAGATTCCCCGATACTATCGGTACGGAATATTTTTGGGCCCATTTTTGTTGTTGGGGCCATACGAGGATATTCAAATGACTTGTTCAGGATTAAGCGGCGACTATTCCGATCAATACCCTGATGATAAAGCCTTTTAATGCGTTACAGTTTTGCCAACTGCAACTTGATGGCAGTCGAAGTAGAAAGAGTTTTTCAATTTCAGACCTCGAGCCTCCGTCTCACCTCGCCAAATTAAAAAGGAGTCGGCCCCGCAACGGCGCGCCCCTCTTTGCGTCTGGCAGAGTGTTGAAGTTTATCGCCCGTCCCCAGGCTCAAACTACGCCGCCGCTAAAGCGTGTCCAGAATAGGCGGCGATGGGGAGCCAAATTGCGCTTGTTTTTATTGCCACTTAGCCTTTAATACATCCGCCTCTAAAAGTCATTGCGGCTTGTCCCGCTAAGTCCCCCGTCCCCACCCCGCGGCCCACCCCCCATTTAGCCCCGTCAAGTCCTGGGAGATGTGGCTTTTCGCAAAGCTCTTTACAATACTTGGAAACAAGACGCTTTGGCTTTTTAAGTGGACGCTTCAAAGAGAGCGTCGGCGCAGGCCAGCCCGGCCGGGGCCCCTCCGCGGGACGGTCAGCAGTCAACTTGACTCTGGGAAGGAATGAGAGCCGGCGATTGCTTTGGGCTGCCGCTGGACTCCGCGCATGCATATTTAGCAGATGCGAGCGAGTGCAAATCAAGGCTTGTTGCTTCATTTTCAGTCAAATATAGTCCGGGTATCGCGGTGCTTCAGTTTTAACGCGACCGTTCTGTTCCCATTGGGTCCAAGTAAGGAAAGAAATCAGTCCTGAGATGACGTATTAAATTGTTTTGTTTGGAGAGATGCGCGCCCCTTTTGTTCACCTTTTGAGAATTTGATATTTTGGAAACCAAGCAATGAGTCCCGCCTGGTTTGTCCGAATGATGTCGCCATACGACTTGGCACATTTTTAGCCGCAAATACGAAGAAGAGAGCCCTGACAATCCACATGTATTCATCCATTTCTTCCATCCATCTCCCGTCTGCCTTTTCTCCGGGTCTCTTTCCCCGCCGTGACG